GGGTAATAGAAGGAGATTTTTTTATCATATTGATAATTATTGTATTGAGTGATGATTCGTTTTTCTCTACTTTCAAATAGTGAGAGTTTAGAAGAAACGTTTTGAAACAAGGAGGTACAGTTTTGCCTCAAGTTATGTCACTTTTATGTCATGTTACTGCGCTCCGACTACCTTTGTACAAAGGTTGACAGGTTTACAAATGTCCCACCAGATAAATGGCTACCGTTCCGGAAAATGGTCACATTTTTACAACCTCGCGCAAGATCTGAATCAGTAGTTTCTAATGGCCATGCTAAAACGCAGCGCTATCTACTTCTCTTTGAAAGTCCGCTTCTTTTGAACCCACCCTTTTTTTCCACCCTCTGGCTATAGCTTCAAGTGTGATCCATGGAACGTAAGGCGCATTTAGCCCAAGATGATCACATCAATCTTAAAACCGTTGACGTCTGCCTTTAGACATAGGAAATGCATTGTACCACACAGCATTGCACAGGCCTAACTCATGCGTTTTTGTGTTAATTGATAGACAAGTTCAAAAGTGCATGTTGAATGAATGGACGGCTGAAAATTACACAGATGGGTCCATCCTCTACGAGGGAGAACAATGGATAGAAAATTATATCTAAATATCCATATTAAAAATATAACCCTATTTGTTTCGGAATGTGCAAATGTAATATGTTATCGGAGATTTTCCAAATCAAACACCAATGACCCTGCCATTCTACGACCATTATGTCTCAACTGTGAAAACAAATATACACTGAACATCAACTGGTTGTTTCGTTGGCAAACATTTGCTGCTGCTCTGACAATCGCATGCATTTACTGTCTGTGGAATTACCCCCATCAGAAGCTCAAACTGTGGTCCGAGCTGGGAGATCTTTACAGCGGCAATCCCAGGAACTGCCTGCCGTACCAGATTACGGATGATGGGCCTGTTGCATCTTTACTGGTCAGCTCTGTTATGTAATGGACTGGTGTGTTTTGGAGACCACAACCTGCTACGGAAATAGCTTCACATGCCATACAGAGCTATCCAGGTAGATAAATGTTCACTAAAGTGAAATAGCCTGAGCTAACCGGAGTAAGAGATTCTGCTGGGAGCCGTCGTTCAGAGAGCAAATATGAGCTTGTATTGGCATCTGTATGAGTCCAAGGCTTTGATTTTGCATCAAAAGATTTCAGGTTGCTTCTATAGATCTGCGTAGTTTTCGAGTTCACTGGAGCTTGAAAATGTAGATAGCCAAACTCCCACGCAAAGTAGAAAACAAAGAACACTTGTCGACTTAACTGTAAGAAGAAGTAACCATTTAGATAAATATTACAATAACAGGTCATGATACAAGAGAGGAAATGAAGATGACGTTTATCACAAATTACGACATGAGAAGGGAGAAAGGGGTCAATTATTTAGGTTGAACAATTTTCTACGTTAATATCATAAAACAATAATCGTGTACCTATGATGAAGACTAGAGACTAAAAGAGACTCTACATCTCCAGATGATACAGACGATCATTTGATCGATTGAGCAAGATCGAAATATAACTTCTCAAGGCCATCTAAAATTGCTAACATTAAAGACATGTTCACGATCTTGACATCAGTGAGAAAATATTTAGCAATAGGTCTTACTGCATATTTCCCCCTAGCATGTAATTTTCCTCTGTGCATCTTAACTCAATAGAGAAATATCGATCGGGAAGGCCATAGGGTGATGAATCCAAGACGCTGTAACATGCCATTGTGTGCAGCTGTGTTATCAAACGCCTGTGGGAGACTGCGGGTCGGGTTAAACACAAGGCGGCCCAAATAACACGCTGTTGTACCGTAATCCTTTAATCCAGACAAGTGTTATTATTCTTGTATGAACACTGACTTTACGCACAGGTCCTGACCTCGATTTTGAACAAATTGCCGTTATTATCTCCAATTTACAAAATTTTATGGTTGTGTGAAATATTGCATACCGGCTACGGTGTATTGACACATACAGAGCAAGGAGAGTGAAAAAGTAAGACTAAATTTTTTTCGTCTCGACTTCGGTGTATACAGTTAGGTTAACAATAGTAAGCAACATATATTTAAAACCGTGTTGTTATTTTTTGTCTACTCGGTGCAACGTCAAAGAGGGTAACACTTTAAAATACCGATGTTCTTCAAATATTTTTTTTTTACTTAATGTAGAATTTTCTACATCAATCAATCGGTGCTGGTCCTGTATGTCATCATCATAATATTTTTACGTTATGTTAAATAAAGGATAGAAAACAACAATGCAGACATACTATAAGGAAGAAATAATTAACTTGCTTGGGGTAACTCTGCCTCAAGTTCAGCTACCTAAGGTTTGTTACGTCAGTGCGCCGTGCAGTTCAATTTTTCGCTGTGATGGTTTCCAATATACCACTAAAGCTATTCAATAGAACTAACACTCCCTCTACGGATTGTTGCTTTAGCAAAAAAATACGTAGCCGATACAAAGAGTTGTTTATTGTCCATCTGATTATAGACTACTAAACTAATTTAATGCTGATATTTACTGCCATCAAGACATGAGGTACAGAAATGAACAGAAAATAACAATCTTACACAAAAACAAACAAGCTGCAGACTTCCGGGAAGCGAGCAGATTCCTCGTGTTCTTGAATCCCCCCATACCGACGTCTATTCCTGCAGGCGCCTCAGATTCTGAAATAATTGACCTCCTATCTTCCTGTATATCTTCCACCCACCCGCGTGCGGCCAACCTACTCTGTCCTCACAGACACACCCACTCAATAATCAGTCACCCAAAACAATACTTCCGTACCCGGAGACTATAAAAAAGTAGATTCCAGGAAAGACAGTGGGGTTTACAATGGTCGCTTCTGATGGCCCGTACACACAGCTCGGCGCTTCTGCATGTATTGACGCCGCGCATGAAGCAAAGCTAAAATCAATCAGATTAGGAAGTCCTAATTACTGTAGTAACCTGATACCGTCGACGCGTTCTTCCCATTCAAGGCCGCGGATTCGCAGCGTTAAGACCGGGAAAATGTGTCTGGAAGCCGCGTTCTCCTGTGAGCCTTTCTCCGTGCGAGGAATCGAAAATACTTTCTTATCGGGGCATCATCCTCTAGCCGCGGCCTGCAAAGGGTGAAGTTATCCATTCTTTTCGAGACATATTTCAGTTAGAAGTTGCGCGCCACAATGCTGATCACGACCTCATTTGCATCGTAATGTCACTTGAAGCTTGAAGTTTGTAAAGAATTATTTTCTTTGCCAACTTCTGGTAATACCGGGTCACCTAAAGTTGACACACATCCATGTCCATGCCCAGGGGACTCTAGTAACAACGTGACATGTTTCAAAACGTTAAAGGGAAGATCTGTACTGAAAAGAACGGGAGAAGAGAAGTGAAGAGAGAAATGACACCTTGACGTTATAGCATTAATTCGTGTCATATTACATATATATGATTTATTATTATGATTAAGCAACCTCCTATCTCTGTTCTTTTTATGCAACAGGCACATTGTTAAAGATTTTGCTTAATTTAGCATGAAGGAAGAGACAAAAAGAAAATGTGAAAGGCTGTAACAATGCAATTTTCCGCCACAGATCTGAAATGACAATCCCTGACAGAACCTCAGTCGGTTTTGTTCTCTTTTCGCAGTAGTAAATTATTTGAAACCCAGTTGATCCCGAAATGTACTATGACGAAACCTTCGTTAAGACCCTTTCGAACTTTTTATCCTTGGGAATTATTGCAGGAAATGCACAATGATATTTTCAAAACCCCGTAATCCGTTGCGTTTGTTAAATCATTGAGGCAAAACTGCAACAGACGGTCTTTCAAATAATCCACTCCAACTTACATATCGTTTGTCTGCGGTTAAATTGAATGTTATCAAAACTGACGCAGTTAAGTTATTCGGCCATGAAAGTCATATGTTACACACAGTCAAGACGATTTATGATGTAAATGTTTAATAGATCCCGCCAGACGGGCATTCAAGTTCAACTAAGTTCCAGTCTATAAACTCCGAGGTTTATGTCTGTCTGGTCCGTCCGTCTTTATAACTCTCAGCATAGTGCTTATCATCATAGATACAGAGGCACGACAAAGAAATAGTACGACTGTAACCTTCTCATTTGCAATCATAGGGGCAACAAAGGCCAATACCGGATATCTATAAGTCCATGTGACAAGAATTAAAAATAAAAGTACCATAAGAATATTTCAAAGAAAGACGACGAGTATGATGATCGTGGTATTCTATAGATTTCCAAGGCGAACCTTTACATATTTGGAGGCGTGGCTTCAACGCCCCCATAGCCAATAAAATCATGCGTGGCTGATGACGCAAAGCGCATCGTACATATTCCATTCCACCGTGTGGTAAGCTTGATTCATTCCACCCTGATCTCCTGCTTCAGATTTGAGCAAACACCAATTACAGACACGCTACCAGCAAGTCAGCTCATTAATATGCAGGGCATGTACGTTTCAATGATTGGTAAACATCTTGTGGCGGTAATACATCCAAAGCCCACCTTTATGGAACGCCCACGAGAGCACACCCATTGATTTTATTTTTTTACAGCCGACAGGCCTACGTCGTGACTCCGCTTTCATAAATTACCTTTCCCGGGATCCACAGACGCCGGGCTGGGTACGTGCGGGGTTCCTGTTGCTTGTGCTGCCGGAACTGTCTCACAGATTATTACCTTGCTAGCACACACGGGCTGCCTTCAGTCTGTGGTTTATCTCGGAGAGACACGTACAACCCTTGGTCATGCGAGACAGCAGACGTCTGGGCGTAGTCGGGACGGCGTTTTGCTTTTAAACGCGTGAACGCGCTCGCCCGGACCTACTCGGTGGGTTGTCAACTGCCGTTTATAAGCACTGCCCCCTCTCGCGACCGATACCGTCTATCTACCTTCGCAAGACTTGTTGAACATTTTCTTACCGTGCGCGTCTTCGACAACTTTTAGCATTCTAGTCGTCAAATCAAATTTGCCTGAGATAATATCTTCTCTGTTTTACTTGCAGGCAAGACAGCAGATGCTGACTGCGTTTACCGTTACCAGACACAACGAGGAGCCAAGGTAGTAACGGGTAAACATGGCCCCGAGATGCGGGACTTTGCTGTTAATGTGGGCTCTTCTCCACTTCTTTGGAGTTACTTCTTCTTCTTCGCCCGTGATGACCAAGTACGGACAGGTAAGCGGCATCACGGTGACGCCGGCTAGAGACCTGAAGCCGGTTGTCCAGTACCTCGGGATCCCGTACGCTCTCCCGCCGAAGGGCAGCCTGCGTTTTCGGCCGCCGCAGCCCCCCAAGCCGTGGACAGGCGTGCGGAACTTCACCGCGTTTGGCCCCGTGTGCCCGCAGATGATCAACGATACCGAGAACTGGCAGAAGCAGGGGGCCTCCGTCCAGAGGATGCGGCTGGCCATGCTGCCTTTCCTGAAGCTGATGGACGAAGACTGCCTCTATCTTAATGTGTACAAACGAGCGGACTTGGGTAAGTCTCCACTTACTGTACATCAATACCATGATAATCTCAGTGTCCGCAGATGCTGGCGTTATCATCGAGTTCAGGCCAGCCTTCGTCTACACCCAAATCAGTAATATCATGTATTTTGCTCCAGCGGTTAGTTTTCGATCATTAGGAACGGGTCGGTTAACGATTGGAGCGGCAAACAGGATCGTGGTCACCCGGGTAGCTTGAAGGGCGGATACCTGACCTTACCAGTAGAGTGAAAAATCACGTTGAAGGATTATTATCCATAAAACTGGCTTAGATGAAATGCACTGCGACCGGGCCATTTTGTCATTACCAGGCGTATCATACCTGTGATATTGACTTGGATTTGGACGCGAGGAAGCGTTGACTTGAGGCACGAAGCATATCGGTAATCGGCCGTCATCGCCGGTCTCAATAGCATCGGCCGGTTTCAAACCCTAATCCTGCCGGATTGTCTTCAACAGGATCGATACTGATTTTCATTTTTCCTCTCTGATACATCCAAATGAAAAATAGAACCTCCAATTTTCCCGACACTGCGTGTGTGCAAGAAGAGACTACACGGTATATGTATATAGTCACGTGCGTGAAATTGCTCATCTATGCTGGCAGTAATTACACCACTTATTAAGAAAATCCCTGCGATCAACCTTGATTTATAACCTTTCTGCCTGGGTGGATATTTCTGAGAGGGTCTCCGCAGGAGTTGTCCTCCCCTACGCGCGGTGTCGGGTGCAGGGTTACCGGCAGGGTCGCGGAGATGCCCCGCTGTAATTGGCAAACTAGTAACGCCATTTATACACACCGTCAAGGTAAATACTCTTAAGATATTGCGTTTTAGCGGAAATCGACAAAACGGAAGGAAGCAAACACACCTCAGCCGATACTCTATTAGTTATGAAACCGCGGATCAAATTCCGATCCCCAAATGTCTACTTTCCTTTCTAGATGAAGGAACGTTTACCTATATTTATCCTCTTTTTTTGTTTTCCCCCTTTCGTCGCCCATCCCCAATGCCATTTCCATCGATACACCGCGATACTGCGAGGTGACAAATGACGGTGGGAAACGAGCAAAGAATTAAGTCCTCCAGACATCCATTATGACTTGCGCGATGAACACAAAAGAGCCAGAGGGAGACCTGACTCGGGGGACACTCCACATAATAGACGTTCAAGATGAAACCCCCATCGTCTTCAAAGAAGTTCGTAAGAGGCAACATCTGGGTAAATGGAGGCGGAAAATAGAATTGATCGGGTCAAGTGGTGAATGCACGAACCGGCGTGCTCAGCCCATCACTCCCGCGGTACGTTCCCGGTTTTCTCTTTCAACCAGACGCCCAGACCTTTTCCTCTCGTCATTAATATTGTAAATACCGTTTCCCGTGTGTCTTTAACCCCCGGTAATGTTGGCTGACAACTTTGATTAGGCTCCAAGACGCAGCGTGCATCAACAGGAGCCGCCTGCACTGTTGGGAGATAAGAGGCTCAGAAAACAACAGGAGTTAACCAAAAAACGCCCGATCCATCCGTAAAGACAATGCATTGATTAAAAACAATATTATTTTGTTGCTTGTGGATTATTGTTGACATATCCTGGGGTATGTTTGTAATCCATATATCACGGAGCGATGTTTACTAGACAAGCTTCTCAATTCATATCTTCATAAACCCAAACAGGGATTGTTGCCAACAATGACACTGTTTGTAACTGGGTTATATGTATGAACGACATTAGCAACCATAATTGTAATTGCTTTATAACCCTTACGTTCCTGGGTTTGTGCTCGTAATGCAATTATACCAATTTATTAGTCGCGTTGAGTAATCAAACAATTAAAGGTTTCCTCACTGAACCAAACATAAAAATTTTCCAGGGTATCTGGTTATACCATCAGTGGGACTGGATGCCCGAGTAGCTCATCGTCTTGTAATTAAATTTTCTAACTGTTTATTGATTATCAGGACATCCGGGTAACCAACTGTCGTGCATACTAATGACCGTGATCCAACGTCACGGTGGATTCAATTTCTTCATTAGAAGAGTTCATACATAGGTACTTTGACTTTATCTAGATCCAGACTTAGCTTTTTTTGTGTCTGTATATATAATACTTGAATTTGACGCAAAGCCCCACTGGAAAGCTGTATCGATCACTGAGCCCGGTAAACCTGTCAGTAAGTAGAAATGACAGTAAATGAGTAAAACTAGCCCAATAAACTACTGCTCTGTTTACTTCAACACATTCATATATGGTAAACAGCAATTCTAACTCTTTTCTGCAACATACTACAAGTAATGTAATCCAGTACCATGAGGTTTCTGCTACAGCATCAGTTACCATGGTGACAGACGTCTAGTCCAGGTCATTGACTTTATTTATTTGGAGCGGAAGAAGAATAAGAAGGAACGGAGCAAAATGTGTTAGAGAATACGTTTCCTTCTGCGAAGATAAACACAATAATAAACAAATAAGCCGTAATCTAAGGACAAGACTATGGCTGATAGCTGTACTAAATCCAGCTCCTTATTCTGAGTGCTGCATTGATTGACATCTATTAATTCACGACCCAATTCACTTGTTGTATCTGATTTGTTATGGATTTTATCAAATACATCAATCAGATTGATATGGTCATCACATATATCAATGCTGTATGTTTTGTCACAAATCAATAATTTGTCACGTTTGGTATTTATATATTTACAAGGTCACATGGCAGTCACAGGATATCGGTCATGTTGTAATTGTCGTATTCCGATACATTAAGGCAACGGATAATCGTCAAATGCATCAATGTGCAGCGGAAGCTATCACTGTATCTTGACGACATCAAGGCGCCCATGCTGTTTAAAAATGTACAAATGTAGCATTACATTTGCTGATCAAACCGTCTTTTATGAACATGTCACTACACATATCGACTGTTCCTTCTGGCGATGTAAAAGCTGGTGTGGTTGAGCTTTGTGAAAAAAGTGTTTGCTACTCGTATCTTCAAGTCATCTCACGGTGTCTAACTGTGCCTTACGTTTACCGCCATCACATGGTGTACATGGTGCCCTGGACGGATCACAACAAATTATGGGGTCATGCGGCGTAACAGCACGAGTGTCCGACTCAGAACCACGAGGTCCCGGGTTCGAATCATGCCATGCCATCGATTTTGTGCCCCTGGAAAAGGCACTTTTCCTTACTTTCCTCACTTTACTCGGGTTAAAATGGGCACTTAGCTTTGGTTAGGGACGCTCCTCTCATGGGACGTTAAATTGAGGTCTCGTCTTTGAGGTGAGCCAGCTACGTTAAAGAACCCATCACACCTTTCGAAAAAGAGTAGGGACATACCTCGTGTGCGATGCTTCAAATCGCCCAGATATGGAGGCCTGGCTAACACTCGTCTCGTATTAGCCACACGGTGATTCACATAATGACCAGGACTCTAGGAAGAAAAGGTCAAATTTGCACAGTAATGGAGAGCCTAATCAAACAAACAAACAAACAAACAAACAAACAGACAACCACTCTCTGTGTCAGCAAAAGTTGACGGTCTGATGTTAGAACACCTGCAGCTCTTAGAGATGCCAGTAGATCTATATATAGATGACTATTGATTTATTCGACAGGATTTTTATGGGGTTCGCCCCATTAGAAGGAAGCCCCAACCACACACAAGAGAGACCGGAAGATTAATAAAGGGGGCCCCAAATCAAAATGTAATGTAGTGAGAGTCTCTTTCCTGTACTTAGACGGTGTTTTCCCACCTGCTGAGAGATGATGATCTAGTATTGACTGTTTACGAGACGTCTGCATGTTACGATCATTTAATTAGCTGATGGAGCCGAAAAAAATGAAAATCTGAACGGGCGAGCTGATAATGTCCTCAGGAGCATTCTAGGATATGGTCATCATGATCAAATCCAAGTTAATTTTTGTAACAATCGAATTTTGTGAATAATCAACAGAGGCACGTGTATGCTATATTAGCTATAGTGTACTAGTATACTAGTGTACACTATTGTTTGGGGAGAAAGGGGCACGTGATAGAATTTGTAACGTTAAAACAAGCTAAGAAACTGATACGCTTCTAGTTTTCAAAACGAATTGGCTTATCCTTCGTCTTTACGTCTGGGATAGATATTTGGCTATAGAGTGAATTAAACCCAACAATAGGTTATTAATATTAATATTAGCTGCTGTATTTGATGGTGATGTTGTATTTGCTTCATAGTCATTATTAGTACGTCAATAGATACATTTATCTGTATCTAACCATTTTTGTTCCGTTCCGTTTTCAACCACTCCCTTTGTTCGTGTCAATCTATGAGAAAGCCATGTCAGAGTGTGCTCTGAATTCATACAGGTAAACCCAGATCTCGGAAGTGTACATATGCATGTACACAGAATCCCACATGCATATCAATAGCTGTATCCAACACGTACACAGATTCTAACAAATGCTCTATTGTATCAAAGGCTTTAATCTTTTAAGAAGATGGATCTCAGCATAATGGAAAAATCTAATTACTGGCTGGGCACGCCAGCGATCTTCGCAAACACGTCCTTAGTCAATGACTGGAAATGAAATGCATCTCCCTATTAAGGCTTTATGCACGAAGTTTTTTCAGACGTAATGCTGTAATGATGAGAATGGATGTACATGGAAACGTTATGCCAGACATGGTCCCAACAGCTTGATGAAGCCAGGCCATATATTTTCTGAGGGTACCTTTGCTTTTCAAAGCCATGTATTTCTTTGAGGACACGGCGGTGCATTAAGTAGTTGGCCCACACCCAACTCGCGTGGCTTCAGCCATTGCCACTGTAATATAGCTGGCCACGCCTAATGCGTTCTGGTAGACGACCTGCTTGTGACGGTAGACACACTGGTTGCAGCAGGCGGCACCCGCAGAATTTGTAACGAGTTCCAGTCAGTTCCGTGTAACTTTGGAATGACGTAAAGATCACGGTTACCGATTGTTTTTTGCGAACTATCATATAGTACTTTCTGCGCAGGACATCAGTCACTAAAATACTGATATCATTCTTTTATATTTTCTGTTATATGGGCTTGTGTGCCAGTCACGGTTAGATATCTAGATATTGACATTTAGGTTTTTGTATCATTTTTTTAGGCCACGCCATGTAAATTTTATGGATGACGTCCGCGCGCGCATTGATTTTGGCCTGTTCCTAGAAAAAAACCCCA